TCACATAAGGGGCTAAACACGAGATCTAGGGGAATTTTCATTGGAAAGATGGATGAGACAGAGACAGAGATTGGAGTTGTCACCGATCCCCTGACAACCCCCCTCCACTGCCAAAAAAAAGACCTTCATTACACGAGAAGCCTCTGGACAATCTAGGACAGAAGATACTCATTCAAAATTACAAAGGAAGCAGCATTAGCTAATGGAGTCTCATGTCCTTAGCCTCCTTCCAGAGTTTTGAGTTCCGCTTTGCCAGGCAGTGTAATTTGTCACAAAGGACACACATTCTAGACTGCCAGAGCCACAGCACAGGGGACTGCACGGCTCTTGGAAGGTGTTTACTGGGGACGTGTGAAGGGCCCAGCAGCGGGGCCCAGCTCTGTTTTACTTGTTTTCTGTATTGGGCTCTTACGTGAGATTTTGTTTAAAGAAAGGGTTCTGTGGCTTCAAGGGTCTGAAATGATAGATCTAGTGAGCCTTTCCCTCCCCCCCGTTGTTTTAAGGGCCAGGAAACTGAGATTTGGTAAAGCGAAAAGACCTTGCCTGGTGGTTTTTCCCATTTCCCAGCAGTGCTGGAGTTCAAGCCGTCTGATTGCTAACGCATTAATATTTCAGCTACACCATGTTGTATTGTCATTTGTGTCTCGGTAACTATGTAATCTCCCTGTCATTCTCCTAAACAGCCTCTTCAGATAGACTGTGGAAACCCTGCGGCTGTTGGATGGGCCATTTGAGGTGATGGGAGTTACACACAGCTTTGTGGGTGTAGCAAAGATCTGTGAGGGAACTTGATGAGAAATCGTTATCAGTTATAAGTGAAGTCTGTTTGCCAGATGCCAGGGAAACAGAGCCGACTGGTGATTGGCACAGCTAAGTTATTTTAGCCAAATGACTAAGGAGTAAAATCTAGCAGAATGTGTTTATTGCCAGTGACCTGGGTCTTCCCAAAATATCCACTTAGCAACCAACAACTTCCTTTTCTTGATCACCGGTTCTTAGCCTTTGCGAAGAGGAAGGCACGCAAATCCTGCAGTGTATTTTTTTGGGTTTCCTGCCAACAGAAGGCATGATTACGGGAAAATGTAATCATTTTCCTTTGTTTTTCCCTCCTGACAGACACTCTTCAGTTGTTACCCTGTTACACAGGACTGGACAGAAATTCAAAATAAGTGTTCTGCATTTTTCCAAAGTCTGTGTTACGTGTTGTTCTACATTATCTTTTTAGTATACTAACCCCCCTGTCTTATAGTAGAATTCATATTTCTAAACTAAAATTGCTAATTAAGGAGTCCTGAAAAATGACCTCCAGGAGGAGACTTGAGAGACTGTATAGGACAGCGGTCAGGTCCAGTTGAGTGGATGAGGTTACAGGAAGACGCAAAGGAGGTGATACAGACAGAAGTGCCTGCTACTCAGTGAGTTCTGACTTACAGCCGCAGTGGGTCCCCTTTCCTTCCCTGCACATAGGGCTTCTCCTAAGCCTCTTCTTGAGTTGTGAGGCCTGAAATAAGATACATGTAAGGTGCTTAACACAATGCCTAGCCGCTGGAGATAGCACCCACAGAAATATTTGTGTTTATATTAAATGACCCTGTCTAGTGACATTTCAGAACGTTGGAGGCGAGGAATGAGAAAAGGGTCTACAACCATTATTAATACAACTGTTATTTCCCCCTATATCCTTACAGTATTTATAAGCATTTTTTAAAAGAGGTTTTAGGTTCACAGTGGTCTGCTCATACATAGTCTTCACGATTGTAACTTTAAAATAAAATAAGCCAGGGACAGAAGACAGAGTCAAAAGTCAGTAGGGCAGAGCCAAGAGAAACTGAGAACAGTGGATTAGGACCCTAACCAAGGACTAACCAGGGCAACAGGCCTGGCTGGGTCTCAGAATTGCTGTGTACCAGCAGCTGCCGTGTGCCTCCTGCCTCCTGCCTCTGTGAATAGGAAAGACTGCTGGGGTTGTCCTTTTGTGCTTCACCAGTGTAAGTAAGCGAGGCGTCTGGGAGACCGCTGGGTTCACAGGTCTCTAGATCAAGAGGAGCCAGTGACAAGGAGCCTCATTTGCAATTGGATCTGATGCGCAGCTCACGAGACTGAACTTCAAGCCTGATGCCACAATCGGATGAGACTTTGGGTGTCTTGGGATAGGAGTAATTGGATCCTGCGTGTGAACTGCTGTGGCCAGAGGCAGAACATGGTATATTGTGTAAACGTATGACCACGGCAATGCTCCCGTCCCTGCACCTACATACCAGCTCTCCCTTCAAGTAGAGGTGGAGTCTGTTGCCCTCCGCCCTCTTTGAATCTACGCTAGCACTGCCTTGTTTTAACCAGCAGGATGTTGTCGAAGTGAAGATGTGTGGCTTCTGGGTCTAGGCCTTAAGAAGATTTGCAGTTTCTATTTTTGTACTCCTGAGATCTAGCTGCCATATAAATAAGCTTGGGCTAAATTGCTGAATGATGAGAGACCACATGGAGAGACAGAGGTCGAGCCAGCCTGCCCCAGCCAAAGCACCAAATGTGTGAATGATGCCATCTTGGGTATTGCATCCCAGCTGACCTCCCAGGTGAATGCAACCGCATCATGAGCCCAGCCTATCACAGCACACAGAACTGTCCAGGAGAGGCCAGCCAACCCACAGAGCTGCAAAAAACAGTGATTCCTGTTTCAAGCGACTACATTTTGAGATGGTTTGTTATCCGGCACAGGCTGACATGTGTTGCTGTGCATGTGGAACACTCACTGTTAAGTGAGTGTAAATTTGCGTAAGTGCTTTGAATGACTGTTTGGCATTATTTCCTAAAGTTGAATGTGGGCATACCCTTGGATCCAACAGAACAACATGAACATGTGGACCAAATATATTCATGGAATAGTCACAGCTGCATCAGATAGCTCCAAACTGGAAACAGCCCAAGCATCCATGTGCGGTTGCATGGATAACTCCACTGTCATGTATTCATGTCATAGAATGCTACCCACCAATAAGCAACCTGCTGCTATGCAACAATGCGTAGGAATCACACACACAAGACATAAAATGAGCTGGAAACAAACAAACAAAATAGGCCAGACCTATGTTAAAGGTCTTTATTCTTAAGATAAAGAGCTTTAGAGAGAGGTGGCTTACTAGAGGAAAGCTGTACTTTGAGTTGTGTGTCAGTTCATGTCATGACTTGTAACCTCGCTCTGCCTCAGCGCTCTCATCTCTAAAGCCAGGATGACTCAGGACTGGAAATTAGTCCTTGGGACTGTCTGTAAACGTGGAAGTGCAGAGGAAAGTTGGCTGTTGCAGCTGCTGCAGAGGGACTATGGCCTGTAGCCTTCTGCTTGGATCTTGCGCATCTGGAGACCATTAGGTAGCTCCCACCTGTGTCAGGTTTCACTGATGGGCAGCAGGGGACATGTTATCTAAGAAAAGCCATCAGAAGACCTGGCTTCATTTGTGAGCCTACTGGGTAGGAATCCAAACGGATTGTTTAGAATGTCAGTAAAGGATAAGCTGCACACAGTAAGTGCAGAGAATTTGTGTTAAAGTACAAATACTTGAGCAATGTAACGCTGGTAAACTTAAATTGAGTGTCCCCGAAGGGAGCCTAAGACAAGGGTCTCCGGGACAACAAAGGTAGAGCTGCTGGGTTCCACGGGCTTCGGGCTTGGCTGCTGCTTTAACACGCACGTGGCTGTCACGGTGGCTGCCGAGAGCTGTCCCTAGCCGGAGCAGTGGCCCGCCCTCCCTAGTCGGTAAGATGTCCTTACTTTGTAAATGAGACTGTCTACAGTCTACCCTCCCAAATATTTTCAGTTATTTTCCTTTCAGTTGTCTGCTTAAAATCACAGTAAACTTGTAATTTAAAGGGCATCAGAGGTTTACACTGGTCTTTATCTCTAAAATGATAAGAACTCACTGAACGGACCCATGTCTGGACAGAAGAACTGAGCAAGGGTTCCTGGTATGTTTTGTCTAGACTGTATTCTTGTTAACTAGACAGTGTGCTTATCTGCAGCTAATTTGGTCATGTCTTATCATTTCAAATGTTATCTTTAAAATGCCTTGCTTAGCCCTGGATACATTGTAGACGGTGAGTAAATACTGATTTTAAAAGAAATTGGAAATGAGTGACATTGTACCATTTGGTCTTCTCATTGCTTCCTGCAATGGACGTTTTAGAGGTGGGCATGAGGTGCTATTTTTAGAGTGAAAGTAACACAGACATCCTCTAAGTGCTGCACAGACTCTTAATACTGGCCTTTGCTCCCCTCTCCACATTCAGAAGCCCCCTCTCGGCCCCCTTTACAGCACCCCGACACCCCCCCACATCACGCTGTCAGCTCTCTGGTCTGTCGCCTACACCAGCTGAGTCATTGTCGTCCAAGAGTTGATTGTGTTTATCCCCAAACTGTTTATGCGGGTTTCACTTGCTGTATTTATGTCATTTAATATTACACTAACCAATGAAATCTGAGTATAAAAGTAGTTTTTTTGAGAACTAGTTTCATAAAGGTGCATTTCTAAAAAAAACACTAATGAACGCGATATAAGAGAGACACTGAAAAAGGTGAGGGGAGGTGTTCAAAGTCTCGGAGGATCCCGGACCCAGATCATTTTGCAAGAGTCTTAAGGGCTCTCGTTTCTTTGAAGAAATGGAAACTGAATATTTCAGTTTCAGCTTAGACGGTGCAGTAATGACTAAAGACCTGCACTCCTGGCTTCAAGACACTTGAAATGCTTTGTGGGAAAAGAAAAGATGACCGCCTGTTATGGCTCTCCACGTGAGAACGCCGTAGCTTCTCTCGATGGAGCCCCCTCCGGTCAGGGGGCTTCGCCCGTTCCGTGGGCTCCGTGACGGGCTTTGGAGAAGAAGCACAGCCGTCGTCCTGTTGTAGGTCTTGAGAGTACTTCTCCCTCTTATGGCTTCTCGTCACATGGATCTGCCTAAAACTCTCCTGTGTCTCATATTAAAACCCAATTCCTGTTCCATTTTCCTCACAGAACATCCAGAAGATTCTTGGCCTGGCCCCTTCACGAGCTGCCACCAAGCAGGCCGGTGGATTCCTTGGCCCTCCACCACCTTCTGGGAAGTTCTCTTGACGTCAAGAAGAATCCTCTAATTCCTGTCTTTTTTTTTTTTTGGATCTTCAAATCAGACTGGCAACTATTTTGTAGCAAGAGCCACGGGCAGCCTTAGCACATGGGCCACTTGCTTGTTTTCAGTTATTTCTAGACTTTTCCGATAGGATTCGAATGAGAATGGCACCCAGCAAACAAACATGACAGCGCTTTCAAAAGTCACAGGTGAATTTTTTTGATAAGTGTGCTGATTAGATAAGTTCAGGTGATGTTTACGTAATGAGAAACTGTGTCTTTCTTGTGTTGTCAACATGACTGTTTTCTGTGGGACCGACTCTCAAGACGGCTGTGTGCCCGGGAATTGGCTGTCCTTGAGCACTGAAGAGTCCAAAAGCAAATTTTAGTTTTCCTTCAGTTAGTTAGTGACTCTTAATCGGAACTCTTTGTTTTGTGTGTTTTTTAAGCCAAATATATGACCCATGATCAATAAAGAGGCCAAAATTTTAACGGTTTCATCTATAACGAGAGCTGTGTTTTGTTTTGCCATGTTTCTAGATATGTGTTTAATTTAGTGATCTGGGCATAAAGGAAGGGCTAAAATAAAAGCGTTTAATGTCATAGTTTTTCATGTTTCCTCATATACTCAGGATACGGAGTTGCCTCTTACAGGAATTGGAAAACGTAAGAGGAAAGGGAAGCAGTGACTCATGGGAGTATAAAAATGAGGGTCCTCAGCCGTTCCCTACTTACCCTGTACAGGTTATTGGATTTTTGCAAAGTCATTCTTAGCAAGGATGTATTACAGAAGAAATAAAGCTGTCACGTCCCAAGAATGTAAACTCAAGGAGCTATTAAGGGCTGCTGCCCCTCACAATTAGTTCTTTTTAATTACTTGCCCTGAAAAATTTTCCAGACTAGTCATTTGGATGGCACCCTAGAACCTGACCATCATGGAATTACTCGAGATGACATTTCATGCCCGAGAACCATCCCAGCCTGGGTCTCCAGCCTCTCCCACCCTTAGCCCCCATACATCCTAGGCTCCAGACAAGGTTTATGTCAACACATTGTGGCGCGGTGACGCAGATTTGCGTTTATCTTGATCAAAATTACCATGTCTACCAAGACAACTATTACAATCATGTGACAATTGCTGAAACTCTCAAGACAAGTTAGAGTATGTGGAACCATCAGAGTGAACAGGGGTCTTCCTCCAGAAATGAAAAACGAATCAGTCTGTGAAATGTGGCGAAACCACGTTCAGGTGAGAAAGGGTGAAATTCTTCAATCCTGCAGGGATACTTGTGTTGTCAACATGATTTCCACAATTCACGATTCAACAATGGTTGATGATCCACGGAGAAATGAAGAAGTAAAGAAAAAACCTATTTGTATTTTTCAGTATAATACGTTCATGAAGGGTGTTGATAAGGCAAATCAGTACTTGTCTTATTCTCAAGAAAAACAATGAAGTGGCCAAAGAAAGTTGCACTTTGGCTTATAATTGTGCACCTTTCAATTCTTTTTGAAACTATCAAAAACTAAACCCTACATCAAAAATGAGATAGAAAGAATTTCTGCTACATGTGGCAAAAGACTGGGCTACAGATAAGGTGGAGACAGACTCAGACACAGAACACAGACGCAGCACGCCCAGGAACATCCCCCTCTAACCTCGTGTGCCTCATGAGGAACCCCCTGGGAGACTTTCGGGTGATGTGCGCAAACATGTGTTAGAGAAAATTGTTGGAAGTGAACGGGGTGAAAGAAAATATCCTGCTAGGAGGTGCCATGTTTGCGATGCCCACAAAAAAGGAAGTGAAACTCGGTACATCTGCAGGTTCTGCTTAGTGCCACTCCACAAGGGGGAATGTTTCCAGAGGTATCACACCCTCAAGCACTAGTAGGGTCTTCGGTGAGTGTTTCCTGAAAATTTCAGTTCACAAAACTAGCGAATTTGTTATAAAATTTTAAAGAAACAGTATAAAAGTTGATTTAAATGGTTTAAACTCCAGGAAACATGCATTTAAACAATTAAAATGCCCCGTCCTCAATGTGTTAAAAATCTGCATTTTTCATGTTCTTTTTGGACTTCACTACCTTTGTTTTCTCTACGTGGAATTGTCTTCCTCTTATTTGCCTGATTTCACCTATTACCTTCTCTACTCAGCTCCACCTCTTCATACAGTTTTCTCTGATCTTTACGTGGCCGGGTCAAGACTCTCCTCCCTGTATCTCTGTTGGAGCTTTTCACATATGAGTCACTTATAAAAAATGGGCAAGTGTCTTTGTAAGCGCCCATCGCCTCACCTTGTCCACCACCCACTTACGTCTTCAGACGCATGCCCACCAGCACCCCAGCACTGACCCCAGCACTGACCGCCTTCAGCCAAGCCACGCACTTCCGCTCCCACCAGAGACTCCGTCACATTACTTGTGTTACTTGTTAATTTTAATCCTAGACACTGACTAAATATGTAAATTAATGAAATGATGCAAAAAGAATTGCTTCAGTAGAAACTAATTTGAATGGCTCAATAAAGCAAATTGCTAAAAATAATTGCTTTGATTTTTATGTGGGTGAAGTAACAGACTGAAAAAAGTTAATACAAGCAGTACCACAAATTTAGAAAGCTTCAGCACTCATGTCCTACCTATCTCAGTGTTTTAGTTCATACTCCTCCTTTAAGAAACAACAATTGGAAATCAGAGGTGATCTATTTGGATTTTTTTAAAACATCTTTTAGAAAGTGCCCACCGTGTAACATGGAGTTTTCATCATCACAAATTCTGTTTCAATTCTTCCAATTTTTGAAAACTTTAGTTGATTCTGTTTGATTCTGTTGTATTCCTGCTAAAAAGTATGCATGGAAAATAACAATAAGCATTCTTTGGAATAAATGTGTAAGTCATAATGAATTTAAAAAAAAACACCCACAAACAAAATAGAGGTGATACATTTTGGGTTTGCTTTATGCAAAAAACAACGGCAACAAATCCGTGGGCCTCCCAACACTGGATGGGCACTCGAGGAAAAAGCTTTGCCCCTACATCCAAGCTGAATGGGTGTGTGTATGTTTTAAAACTGTCAAAAGTACATATGAACATTTTTATTCATTTTTTGTAATTCCAATCTGTAATTAACTTTTTGGTTTAACCTACAAATTCTATCAGCCAAATGGTTCTTTCCTCCTAGTGTTTCTAACGGGTTATACGAAGTAGTTGATATGCCTGGCATATTGAAAGCATTTGATCTCACACACAGCAATCCTATATGTAGATAGGGTATCTTTTTCTATTGTCTGATTTTTACATATGACAAATGGGGTTCTGAGATTTTAAGTGGTGTATCCAAGATCACACACCAGTAGGTGGCAGGACCAGACCAGATCATCAGTTGCAGGGGCCATGCCCTTTTCATGATAGCACCCAGTAGGACCGACTCCATTGGGGCTACAATGTAAAAATGGCTGAACTGGACTTCCCCCTGGGTTCCAAATGTGTACAAAATGGTTCATGTACAAGTTGGGGTCCCAGGGAGTATCATTTAATTGACTGTCGTTGTCTTTAGTCCCTCAGTTTTTAAAAAACTTTACCACCTTCCTAGTTTACCATCTGAAGGGTGTATATTAGCAAGACCTTTTGAATCTTAGAAGAAATTTTAAAATTATTAATCAGGAAATTCTGCAGCTGTCACCAGGTGAGTGTGTAAGAGGGCCAGATAAGTCTACTAAGAAATGCTACTGTGAATGGCTGCCTCTGAAGATGGAGGCTAACCACATTTTTTAATCCATAAAATTATATTTGGATCCAAGGCCCATCTGGCTCCTCATGAATACAATCAAAGGGCTTTTATTTATACCACTGACTTTTAGGTTTATAATCAGTTACTCCATTTGCTGAACAGTCAGTGCGACCATAAACAGATAATACCAAGAAGCCTGAAAAAGCCTGAAATCTGTTTGATCTGGTGACAGACTGTTCCTTTCTAGAGGAAATTTTACTTTTTTTTTTTTTAAGCACGATGGTGCAATACTTGAGAGCAGTAGTTGCGAAACTCTTGACGACAGCCACGGTCTAGATTTCCTTTCTGCAACCCAGATACAGAATTTTCATGAAACAGTTTTGCCTCCGACATGCACTCTGGTATTTTGTTTTACACTATTTCATTTTTCAAAAAGGAGCTGCATGGGACCTTGCCCGCAGCTTATCCACACCTGGGAGCACCCACCTGTTTTTCACAGCTTCCTCCCCTCCCCCACGTATTAAGAAAAAAAGATCCTCCACCTTCCTCCTTCCCTCACTTGCTGATGAACGGCTTCCCTACTGGCAGGAGAAAAAGAACAGAGGCTCTTGTTTCGTTGGGGCGTTTTTAGAGCTAGGAAATCTTGTCCCGGAAGAGGCTTATCCTGCGCAGTGCTCACAGCTGGATCTGGTCACAGGCCTGTCCCCACGACCCATCAATGCCACGGGGAAGAAGACGACGCTGGCGGGCTCCTCATGGTGTGCCCTGGTTATGGGGGCGGGAGTTGAGGGTTAGACAACGGAGAAAAGCAGGGCTCGGCCCTCCTGGGAGAAGGGAGAAGATGGCCTTTGGGTGGAAGACAAATAGCAGGGGTATGAGAGTGATTTTGAGCGGCCATTCACGGTGGAGGGCAGGCTGGCCCTGGCGGGGCGGCAGCCTCTTAACGCTGTGTCTCGTTGTCTGCTGCCACGCGGTGCCACATATTTCTTGCCATCGTGACCAAGTATCCAGCCTCAAGTACTGGGGCGCCAGAAAAAGCAACTTGGTGCTGAAGATTTTAAAGCGCAACAGCTACTCCAGCCTGTGGCCCTCGGTCTTGAATTTCTTCTTCGTTGTATGTTTGCTGATTCTATTTTCTAACTTTCAGTCTCCGGCCCTCTCAACTACTGCTTACGAGCGAGTGCCACCTAGTGGTGGTAAGTGGCCCGGCCTGCCCCTTAGGAAAAGAAGGGCTTTGTCCTTGGAGCCCTGAGTCCACTGTCCAGGGAGACAGGGAGAGTGGTGGGCCGCACACTGGGAGGGTTCTTGAAGGGGCACTCTGCCTGTGGAGGTGCAGGAAGACGCGGACCTTGTAAATGCACAGCCGTTACTACGTTTTCCATCCCTAGGGTCGCTTCCTGCCACTCTCCAAGCCTCTCAATAGCCTTCCATGGAGAAACAACAGAAACAATTAAAAAGGTTTGTTTCCCCCTTCACGCGGCATCCAGCCTGAAACACAGGAGCGAGAGAGGCAAAGGCGTGTCCCCCTGATCCTGCTGGCGGCTCCCCCGCGGCGGCTCCTCTTCCGGCACATCTGCTCTGCCTGCCCCATCCTCCAGCTCCGGCCTCGCACCCGGTCGGTCCTCTGAAGCCCCAGTTCATTGCTGAGACTTGGCCACATCCTCGATCTGAGCACAGCACACCCCTGCCACTTACAACTGAAAACCCCCCTTTCTCAGGAGGGAACATACGTAGGATGAGGTAACTGCGTCTGGTGACGCAGGGCAGTTGACACCCCCTGAGCAGAGGCTGTCTCCTTGGCTTTGCCATCTGAGGACCAACAGGCCCCATCCTCTATTTTTCAGAAAGCAGTTCTTCTTTCCAGAATTGTGTCGTCGGCCCATAACATCTTATCCCCCTTCTTAAAATGACAATATTTTAAAAGAAAGGAATACGTACACACGGTAAAAATACAAATATGTATAAAGGTATAAAAGGCAAAAGTCTATGCCTCTGTCCCCCGCTGTTCTCCTGCCCCTGCGTTGACTTCAGCCTACTCCGGAATAAGCACCGGTGACACTTGGGAGTCTGATGGCTTATTGTGTGTATCAGTTTGGGGACAGGTTGTTTGGTCAAGCATCACTCTGGACATCGCCGTGCAGACATTTCCTCGGTGTGATGAACATTTATAATCAGTAGACTGAGTGAAGCACGTGGCCCTCCTTCCTGTCACTGGAATCTCATCCAAGCAGCTGAAGGCCTTAAAAGCAAAGACTGAGGTTTTCCAAAGAAGAAGGAATTTTCCTCAAGACTGCAACAAAGAATCCTGCCCAAGTGTCCAGACTGCTGCCCTGTGGAATTTGGCATCAAGAGGGCAGCATCAGGTGTGATCCAAATTTCCACCCAGCAGCCTGCCCTGAGGCCCTCAGACTTGCCAATGTCACAGTCACATAAGCCAGTTCCGTAATCTCTCTCTCTCTCTCTCTCTCTCTCTCTCTCTGTACACTATTGATTCTGTTTCCTGGAGAACCCTAATATAACATAGAATATCTGTGGTGGAGATGGATAGCTGTCTCCCCAAATCCGTACTTTGCTCCCCCAGTGAACTGGGTTGCAGCTTTTTATGGCCATCAGCTGAGCTCTCCCCACTGGAAGGGGGAGTGAAGTGATAGGAGCCACTGCCATGCCTGGCCCGTGGCCCATTCTTTCTCCCTCACCTCGCCCTCCTATGCACCCGCGCGCGGGCCGAGGGCGTGCTCCTCTTTCGGCATTCCTTCCGCTCCATGTGGCCCTCTTTGTCTCTTTGAATTTTCACCCCAACTTGCATAGCTGGCCGACAACACCCTCTGTAGCCTCAGCTGCTTTGGGAGTATTGCCAACAAGCTCCTCCCAGGGAGTTTAATGTCCTTTAAATCTTCTCCCCAGGGACAGCTTTCTGGGTTTCAAAACCC